TATATATATATATATATATATATATATATATATATATATATATATATATATATATATATATATATATATATATATATTATTAATTAAATTGTATTGTATTAATGTACACCCTAACCCTCACTGTAATGTAAAAACAGCAATTACTATAGAATTATTTACATTATTTATTAAATTACCCATTAAATTGTATTTAAATAATGTCTACCCCTAATCCAACCCTCACAGTAATGTAAAAACAGTAATTATAATGTGAATTATTTATATTGTTAATAAATTGCTAATAAATTGTATTTTATTAACGTCTACCCCTACCCTAATCCTCACAGAAATATAAACGCAGTAATTATAATGAGAATTATTCATATTATTTATTTAATTACCCATTGAATTGTATTTTTAACGTCTACCCCTAATACAACCCTCACAGTAATGTAAAAACAGTAATTATAATAAGAATTATTCATATTATTTATTAAATTACCCATTAAATTGTATTTTTTAACGTCTACCCCTAATCTAACCCTCACAGTAATGTAAATGCAGTAATTATAATAAGAATTATTCACATTATTTATTAAATTACCCATTAAATTGTATTTTTTTAACGTCTACCCCTACCCTAATCCTCACAGTAATGTAAATGCAGTAATTATAATAAGAATTATTCACATTATTTATTAAATTACCCATTAAATTGTATTTTTTTAACGTCTACCCCTACCCTAATCCTCACAGTAATGTAAATGCAGTAATTATAATGAGAATTATTCATATTATTAAATAAATTACCCATTAAATCGTATTTTATTAACATCTACCCATCTACCCCTCACATTAATGTGAAAAATATTAATTATTGTTGTACAGTGTCACAGTAATTATGCTGTATTGATGTGAGTATCTGTAGCTGTATCCTTTCTAAACGTTACCCTTTTCTGACAATCATGTAGTAAATTAAAAATCAGGTGTGGTACCTACACGATTTCAGACGCTGCCATTGACTTCCATAGGAGGAAAAATGAATACTATGGAAGTCAATGGTTACAGGTTTACAACATTCTTCAAATTATCTTCTCTTGTGCTCAATAGAAGAAAGAATCTCATAAAGGTATGAAACAAGAGAAAGGTGAGTAAATGATGACAGATTTTTCATTTTTAGGTGAACTATTATTTTTAATACTGCATGCTTTTTTGTATGGATTTCAGATGGGCTGGTTTAAGGGCTGGAAGATTGAGAGGAAGGAGGGTGGTGCCAATGGTGTTACGCTTCTGGAGGCCCTGGACTCCATCCTACCACCCAGCCGGCCCACCGACAAGCCCCTCCGTCTGCCACTGCAGGATGTGTACAAGATTGGAGGTAAATTGGTTATTATATTTCTTTATTCGTCCCCATCTAATAATACTTTATGGAAGCCAAAGTTAATGTAAAACTGTAATCAAAGGGTTATCAGTAGGGGTGTGAACCTACACCGGTCTCATGGTTTGGTTTAGTTAAAATTATCATTCCATCGATTCGGTTCAATTCGATATCTCAGTGCATCACGGTGCATTGACGATTAGGGATGCACCGGTATGGATTTTTTGGTCGATAACTGATAATTCTTCAGACTTGGAGGCCGACAGCCGATATATATAGGCCGATAATTATAAATATTTCAAAATGTTATATTTTTATACAGCAAACTTCATTAAAAGCTGAAACTCGGCTCTTTTGAACTGAATATCCTATACTCAAAGCAAAAAAGCTATGATTTCAAAATTATATATTCAATTATATATAACCTATATTCACGATTTCACACGAATCAGCATGCTAAAAATACATTATTTGATTTTCTTCATAGCAAATTAACATGCAAATTGACTGTTGCATAAAATTAAAAAGGTTAAATAACAAAATGGGATTTAATTAACATGCAAGTTAAATATATTTTAAATAAGATGAAAATAAAAGAGCTGAGGACTGAAACCAGCTCAAATGTTCTTGAATAAAACGGGTTACAGTAATGTACATGTGTACAAATATGTCATGTCCGAAAAAGCCTTTTTTAGAGGTGTTTTGACAGTTCAGAGCCACCGTACAAGTGATAAGCTAGATACAGAATGTATTATTTTTAAAAATGCGACATAAATTCATCCTTTTTTGTCGTTTTAGATTCTTTCAAGCAACGCGTTGATAATAACAAATAATTATATTATATTAAAAACCTTCCGTAAAGTTTTTGTTTAGCGCGTCACGTGTGCAGGTCAGTTTGGTGTGTGTGTATGTGTGTGTGTGTGTGTGAAGCGAGGAGGGAGAGACAGAAAAGAGGAGCGCTTTTTTCGGGTCCTCGTTTATTCACTTGCTGCAACTAAAAGAATTAACTCCGAAACTAATATTATTCAGCCCTGGAGTACTAAGTAAATCTCTCTGCTATCTCTAACACAACAAATAGACAGAGCAGGAAAGGCTTTCATATGTAATATTTTTTCCTGAGGCGATTTGAAGCAAAATACATACAATGGCACTCAATCAAACATATCTACAATGATAAGGAACATGGTTACTTACTGAGTTATTAACGCACAGCAATACCACGTGAGGAAAGGACAGACTTTGAGGGAATAATCAGTGTGTGGAAAGATCTAAACATGTTCCGCCCACGCGTGCGCGGCAACAATTTCGTAATTTATCGGCTTAAAGATATCGGCTTAATTTAGACATCAGATCGATAACGATAATCTTAAAAAAAGCATTTATCGGCCGATAACGATATGGCCTCCGATATATCGTGCATCCCTATTGACGATGCTTTCCATACACCGATTTTTTCTTCACATTTTTTTTTAATCTACAAATATATTTATATTTTATTTGTAATACAATTTTGTTCTTAAATACAGCAGTAAGATATATAAACTGCACCTTTAATTTGACCCGCTCAAAGAAAACATGCTTTCTGAATGTATCAAACAAAACTCCAACACATGCACAGAAGACAGCATGAGCATTTATAGCAAGTAAACTCATGTACATATCATCCCGCTTGCTTTTTGAGCACTGTCAAGCGAGGTCTTACACCCCTATGATTGTCATGTCATTGTCTTCACCCGCTCAACAGAAAGGGCTATGATTGGCTTCACAAATAAAAGTGCTGTTCACCAATAAATGACGCAGGAAGAACAGCCACGGTAACAGTCTATATGTGCATAATACACGGTTATCAATAATAGACAGTGAAGAAAACTTGCACGTCATGTCTATGTCATGTCAGCAACTGTTTTGACACCAAAGTTCTCTCTCCATAGATGCAACTTATGCAAAAGGACTAAGTGTTTACATACATTGTCATGATAGCATAATCACTTGATAACATGTTACTCATTCTAACTTCTGACACATATAGCTTCATACAAGTATTTAACATATATAATCAGTGCTTTACATATTCAGTTATTCTACACAATCTTCTTCAGCATAGCCTTCCCCTAGTGTTGCTCCTGTGCAGGCATACTCATCTTACACAGTAATACCACTCACTGTATTTTATCGATCAATACGTTCCTACTCTCACCAATGGTCATGAGCTTTGGGTCCTGAACGAAAGGACAAGATCTCCAATACAAGCGGCCGAAATGAGTTTCCTCCGCAGGGTGGGAAATATAGATAGGGTGAGGAGCTCTGTCACCTGACTGGAGCTCGAAGTAGAGCCGCTGTTCCTCCACATCCAGAGAAGCCAGCTGAGGTGACTAGGGCATCTTTTTCGGATGCCTACCGTGGGAGGCATATCCCACTGGGAGGAGGCCTCGGGAAAGACCCAGGACACACTGGCAGAACTATGTCTCCCGTCTTCCCTGGAAATGCTTCCGGATCCCCATGGAGGAGCTAAAGGAAGTGTCAGAAATATGGGATTCCCTCTTGACACTGCTGCCCCCATGACCCAGTCGTACCTCGGATAAGCAGAAGAAATTGAATGAATGAATGAGGCCTGATAACAGGATTATAGGGTATATGATACAACATGGACTTTCAAACATTCTCTGTTTTCCAGGTATTGGAACTGTGCCTGTGGGACGTGTTGAGACTGGAACTCTGAAGGCTGGGATGATCGTGACCTTTGCCCCTGCTAATGTAACCACTGAGGTTAAGTCTGTCGAGATGCACCACGAGTCTCTTACCGAGGCTCTTCCCGGTGACAACGTTGGCTTCAATGTCAAGAACGTGTCTGTCAAGGACATCCGTCGTGGTAATGTGGCTGGAGACAGCAAGAACGACCCACCCATGGAGGCTGCCAACTTCACATCTCAGGTTTGATGACAGAATATTATCTGCATGAGCTACATAACGTCTTACATTTATTTATTTAGCAGATGCCTTTATCCAAAGTGACTTTCAATTGAGGTTAAGTTCTTCAAATCATTGGAAAGTAACAGTATATAAGTGGTATGACAACTCTAAGTTACTAAGTCTACAAGTCTACGTTTTATTTATTTATTTTGATTCATTAGTATGATAAAGGGCCTCCCCTTGCAACCAATACAGCATCAATTCGTCTTGGGAATGACAGATTCAAGTCCTGCACATTGGCCAGAGGGATTGTAAGCCATTCTTCTTCCAGAGTAGTGAAATATCAGGTCAATACATGATACTGGTGGAGGAAAATGTTTCCAGACACACTTCTCCAAAATACCCCAAAGTGACTCAACAATATTTAGAACTGGGTACTGTGCAGGCCATGGGAGATGTTCAACTTTACTTTCAAGTACATCAATCCACTTTGTCACCAGTCTTGCTGTATGTAATGGTGGATTAGCATCCTAATATGCGGCACCAACTTCAGGATACAGTGTGTGACTCAATGGGTGCACATGGTCCTCCAGAATGTTTTGTTAGCCCTTGGCTGTAATGTGTCCTTCTAGCACAATTATTAGGCCTAGGGAATGCTATGATATTGCAGCCATGCTCTACCCAACAGTCTGGATGGTGCGCTTCTTTGGGTCTTCCACATATATATATATATATATATATATATATATATATATATATAAATATAAATATATATATATATATATATATATATATATATTTGTATAGGCTTTTTATTATTATTAATTATTAATATTAATTTATTTTCATTTTATTATATAATGTGACTGTATATCAAGTGTTTTATCATCGTCTTCTCCCAGGTCATCATCCTGAACCACCCTGGTCAGATCTCTCAGGGTTACGCCCCAGTGCTGGATTGCCACACTGCTCACATCGCCTGCAAGTTTGCTGAGCTCAAGGAGAAGATCGACCGTCGTTCTGGCAAGAAGCTTGAAGACAACCCCAAGGCTCTCAAATCTGGAGACGCTGCCATTATTCTTATGATTCCTGGCAAGCCCATGTGTGTGGAGAGCTTCTCTCAATACCCACCACTGGGTAAGAACAGTCATTTAGGTTGATATTAGAGATCTCAGTCTCCATAAATTACCATATTCTATCGTTGTTTAAATGACTAATCAACTAATTAAGTAATTGTAATACTAATAATGTAAGGTGTCTACTTCTGGTTGGCAGAACTATTATTATTATTATTTTTTTTTACTATTAATAACAGCCTAGATGGATTGTGAAATACAGAAATTTATGAGTGCAGTGATTCCTAAGATAAAAAAGTAGCTTTTTAGCTAAATATTTTGAAAGAATTTAATAAAAAGTAGTCTCATTTATCTTTACAGCAAAACATTTAAAAAGATTTGATGCAAATAATGCTGTAAAGTATGAGAAAACCATCAAATCAGATAGGATACACAGCAGGCCGGAAGTGTGCTATGCACAACAATATAGCCACATTTTAATGACACTGTATAACAATAATTAATATTTTACAGTACTGTGATGGTTGGGTTTAGGATTAGGGTAGGGGTAGACGTTAAAAAATACAATTTATTGGGTAATTTAATAGATAACAATAATTACGTTATACGTGTTTTTACGTTAATGTGACGGGTTTAGGGTTGTGGTGGGGGTAGACGTTAATAAAATACAATTAATGGGAAATGTGACAAATAATAATTATTATTTTTGTTAACTTCCAATTGCAACCATATCTGATCTAGCAATAACCATTTTGGGCTGCATATGCAATATGTACAGTTGAAGTCAGAATTATTATCCCCCCTTTGATTTTTTTCTAATATTTCCCAAATGATGTTTAACAGAGCAAGGAAATTTTCACAGTATGTCTGATAATATTTTTTCTTCTGGAGAAAGTCTTATTTGTTTAATTTCGGCAAGAATAAAACCAGTTTTTAATGTTTTAAAAGCCATTTAACGGTCAAAATTATTAGCCCCTTTAAGCTATATTTTTTTTGGATAGTCTACAGAACAAACTATCGTTATACAATAACTTGTCTAATTACCCTAACCTGCCTCATTAACCTAATTAACCTAGTTAAGCCTTTAAATGTCACTTTAAGCTGTATAGAAGTGTCTTGAAAAATATCTAGTTAAATATTATCTACTGTCATCATGGCAAAGATAAAAGAAATAAGTTAATAAATTACTATTATGTTTAGAAATGTGTTAAAAATTCTCTCCGTTAATCAGAATATAGGGAAAGAGTAAACAGGGGGGCTAATAATTCTGGGTGGCTAATAATTCTGACTTCAACTATATGTCTCAAAACTCACTTAATGCGTTCACATAGATAATGTGTATCAATTTAAAGGATTACTGACATGTATGGGTGAATAGTTAAATATTCAATTATAAATGTTCTGATTAAAGTACTTTGTTTACTGTCATGCTTCAGGTCGTTTTGCTGTGCGTGACATGAGGCAGACCGTGGCTGTCGGCGTCATCAAGGCTGTGGACAAGAAAGCATCCAGCGGTGGAAAGGTCACCAAGTCTGCTCAGAAGGCCGCCAAAACCAAATGAATCGTCTCATCAGACACACAGCAAGCCCCATTGACATCCTACACTGCAATGTCTCAGAACCTGAGCACGCTTTTAAAGGACTGGCTTATGCTGATAAAAACCCACCGCAAAAGCTTCAGGAGGAAAGGAGGAAAACATGCATTTGTAACACGTTAGGAGACTGTTATTACAAATAAACTATGATCATCCATTTCTGATTGTGCCATCGCTCTGATTTGTGCATCAAGACACCATGAATGGGTTTTATTTTAGTGCTTACATGAATTAAAAATAATCAAACATCAAATTAAATGAGATTCAAATGTTATTTCTGTTTACATTTTAATCATATTTCACTCTAAATGTAATGTCACTCAAATAATGTCATTTAATAATGTAACTTCAATTAAATATTAGATGACAAACAAAAAAATATTGAATGAAAATTAGACAACCTAACTGAAATAAAATGTTTTAATAGTACTAGAAATAGCACATATTTGCCAGTTGGCCTGACTTAGGCTCAAACCAGCGACCTTCTTGCTGTGAGGTGATCGTGCTACCCACTGCGCCATCGTGATGCCTGATTTCAATGTCATGATATATAAATCAAGTTCTTTGGCAGTACCGGGTTGCAGCTAGAAGGGCATCTGTTGCATAAAAAAAAATGCTGAAATAGTTGGCGGTTCATTCCACTGTGGCGACCCCTGATAAATAAGGGACTGAGCCGAAGGAAAATGACTGAATGAATAAATCAAGTTCAAGACCCGTCAGATTGTTATTGAAAATTAAAGTTGAGCTGTTTTTACCTAGGTGTGCCAGGGCGAGCATGTCCCTCAATGCGCAGTGCTTCCATTGGGAATAACGAACTTGTGCGTGTATATGAGGCGATAGCTATGTAAACAGCGCTAACATCTCATGTAGAACCTCATTGATTCATTTTCTTTTCGGCTCAGTCCCTTTATTAATCTGGGGTCACCACAGTGGAATGAGCCGCCAACTTATCCAGCACATTTCACGCAGTGGATGCCTATACAATTTATCTGTACCGCATGTCTTTGGAGTTTTAGGGGAAACCGGAGGACTCGGAGGAAACACACGTGAACATGTGGAGAACATGCAAACTCTAAACAGAAACGCCAACTGACCCAGCTGAGGCTTAAACCAGCGACCTTCTTGCTGTGAGGTTACAGCACTACCTACTGTGCCACCACGACGCCTTATGTAGAAACATTTAAACATGAATTATATGGTTTGATTGTTATACGTTGGTCAAGCCAATTTGTTGCCAAAATAACCAAACAAATTTGTTATTTTTGTAACCCAATTTGTTGGGTCAACTTTAACAACCCAATGGATTGGGTTAAAACAACCCAACAGCAGGGCAGTGCCAAAATGACCCATCATACATGTTGGGCTATTATTAACCCAACTGTTTTAAATGAGTGGAGATCTACTTTCCTGCAGATTTCAGTTGCATCCCATATCAAACACACCTTCCTGTAACTATCATGTGCTGTTCCGGTCCTAATTAGTTGGTTTAGGTCAGGGGCGGACTGGCCATCTGGCAATTCTGGCAAATGCCAGAAGGGCCAGACCATTTATTAAATGTGGGCCTGTCAGCTATTTTTTATTTACTTATTTATTTTTTCATATGTACTGTTTTTTAAATGTAGGCAGCTTTTATCTCATGCGAGATGTGAATATTATGATGATGATGGTGATAATAGTAAGAATTATAGTAAATGTTAAGCATTGGCCCATTTAGCAACAACCGGCTGGTTTTGAGATGGGCCGACCCAATCTGAGGTTACGCAGACATAATAAAAATTTGGCAAGAATGTCAAACAAACAGTAAGTGCAACACAAGCTAATTGTCAGAGATGGACCATAAAAAGGGAAAGGCGTTCAAGTCAGACATTGCCATTTACATAAAATTAACTGAACTAGTCTCGAAAGGGGGCAGTGCAGTGGCGCAGTAGGTAGTGCTGTCGCCTCAGAGCAAGAAAGTTGCTGGTTTGAGCCTCATCTGGGTCAGTTGGTGTTTCTGTGTGGAGTTTGCATGTTCGTGTGGGTTTGCTTCTGGTTTCCTTCACAAGTCCAAACACATGCTATAGGTGAATTGGGTAGGCCAACTGGGAATTAGGTAACCCAGTAATGGGTTGCAGCTTTGAGGGCATCCACTGTATAAAACATATGCAGGATACGTTAGCGATTTCCAGATTAATAAATGGACTAAGGCGAAAAGAAAATGAATGACATGATTGCATATATAAATGGGTTGTTTTTGTTTCAGTCACATACATTAAATGTTTAAATATCTCTTAAATAGGAACTGCTTATATAATTTTACCATCTGTACACAAATTTAAGTAGTGAATGTGCGTGTCCTTGGATGGGGCTGTGTCGGTGTGGTAATGTGGGCTGGTGTGGCTACAATGCCAGGGCGGATTTTTAGTCCCAGTCCGCCCCTGGTTTAGGTGTGTTTGATCAAGGTTAGAGCTGAACTCTGTGAAGGCAGATCCACAGGAACAGGGTTGAGCTGCCCTGATATAATGCATAAAGACTCGTCTTTTAAATCCACTGAAAGTTAACCTTGCACACATTACTCAATCGAATAAAATCTTTATTTATGGAGATACGTGTTTTCGTCAGCAGTAAAGCCTTAGGCAAATCTGTCTTTAAAGTTTCGTTCTTACCTGACAGGAGAACAGTCACACCCTGAACCTTTTACAGTAAAGCGAAAGATCCTCTGGTGTGTCTGGGAGGACTTTAGAAAACACTCGTGTCGTGTATATCTCTGTGTTTAAAGATATTCGGTACAACAGGAAGACGGTAAGTCTGCATTCATGAATGTCATTCAAAAATATACGCTTGAGGAATTGTTTGAATAGGTGCATTGATAAAGTTAACTATAGTTAACAATAAGATTTATTTTCAGTAATGTGTTTTACTGTTGATTTAGCATCAATATCCCCCATGCCTGTACTGGAGTATGTGCATCTTACTTTTTAGAATATAACTTTTAAATGATAATTTCTTTCTTTCTTTCTTTCTTTCTTTCAATAATAAACGCTTGAGGATTATTTTAATAGTTGCATTGTAGCATACATGGTGAAACCAAACTTTACCAAAGTTAACTAGCATTAGGTTTTACTGTTGTTTTGCAAGATAATAATGTAATATTATTAATCAGAATATCCCATATGCCTTTCATGGAGTATTTCTTTATTAGATTAACTTTATTTTTTGTCGATCCTTCTTTCTTTCTCATTCAATAATATATGCTTGAGAATTATTTTAATAGCATTGAAAGTTTGGTTTCACCATGTATGCTACAAAGTTAACTATAGCTAAACAATAAGCTTTATTTTTAATTATTTAATTTCTATGATTATTTTATTGGTTGATTATATGCAATTATAGATGTCAAAAAATCCTCCCAAACAAGTTTTATTAATTTTACTGTTGATTTTGCATCATTATATCACTGAGGCCTGTACTGGAGTTTGTCTATCTTAGTTTTTAGCAGATTATATATTTTTTTCTTTATATATTATATTTCTTTATTTCTTTCTTATTCAATAATATTCAGACTTTTTTTAAATACAGTAGATGAATAAAGTTTGGTTTCATCACATATTCTACAAGGTTAACTAAACAGTAAATTTGTATTTTTAATTCTTTACTTTACTCACTTTATATATATATATATATATATATATATATATATATATATATATATATATATATATATAT